CTACCATGTTTTTATCATTATATTTTATATCATATTTTTTATAATTAAATTTTTTATATGAATGTATATRTATGCATTTTTATAACAGCTGTATATTTTTATTTTTCATCATTAAAATTTTAAGTAATAAAGAAAAAAACAATAATTGTATGATTTAACAACATTTTTTAGACTAGATAAATATTTATATTAAAAGACAGCAATTAATTTGTGCTTAAGGCGGCACAATGGTTAAATCCGGCACTGATTACAGCCAAATTAATTTTTAAGACAAAAAAATGACGGATAGAAGTCTATAGTATTACAGTCACGATGTTCGCTCGGACTTGTATAAACGCTCCACGAACGTGTTCATTTAGTTTAACCATAGGTCTTACTATAATACATAGAAAATTATTTAAACTAGGAGTCTAAAAGTTGACTTTTTTTTATAGGTTCTAACCTTTATTTTTGATTAAAAAAAAAATATATATATATATATATATATATATGCATTATATTATAGAGTTTTTTCACTTCATTAAACAAATTAAGGTAAACATTGTTTGTTCATAATTTATGATGTTCTTATCAAAAAGGAACAATTTTTTTAGATCATTTTTATTTTAATAAAATTAATCATATTTTTACCTTTATATATTTAATTCATTCTTCATAATTAATTTTGATTATTCAGTTAGGTTAGGTAGGTACCAACTTTCTTACAAAGTTACCTACCCGTATATACTTGTTTAGTTATTTTTCAATGAAATATACTAACAATAATAATAATAATAATTAAATCTTCAAGATGCTAAAAACAAACCACTAACTTGGCATCACAAAAAAAATCAATGAAACATTCAAACATATTCACCCATTTAAATGCCCATAACTATTTACCAACAGTATTTAATTTAAAAAAAAATTCAATACATTTTTGTAAAATTGTATACCTGCTTACCTTTTAAATCCCTATTATATTGAGTTTTAATTTTATTATAATTTATAATACCTACCTAGAATATACAGAGTGTTCACTAAACGTGCTAAGTTAGCACTGCTAACTCCTTTTTTTATTTAATTATGAAGTTATTCAAAATCTGATTTTTGGAATCTTAAAATATACTCTAAGACCATATTTTAAAATTTTTGAGATTTTTTATTCCACTTAAGGAGTGTCCTATGACGATACAAACTTTTGTTTTTCAAATGAGAACCTCATTTTTTTACTGAAATAATTTAGTGGATATTTTTTTTATATGATTTTTTGTGTGTTGTAATTAAAATTCTAATGAATACCTAGTTTTTGAGATATTTAGTTTTGTGTTCTAAGGATAAAACGTCCATGGTTTAGGTTTATAACAGGGGTCGCCAACCTTTTCAAACAAGTGAGCTACATTTGAAATTTTTAGCCCCAGGTGATCGACATCTAGGAGAATTTAGGTCTTTAGGAAAAGATTTGTTTTATGGTAAAATTAATTTTTATAACGATCGACCTATATTCCTAAAAAGATCGACCAGTCGATCGCGACTGGTTGGCGACCCATGGTTTATAAGATATGTGATCTATGGTCGATTTGAAAATACTAATCATTATATCAGTCTATCAACATAAATAATTCGTAAAAACCCCTCACACCAAGGTATCAGAAATCTGCTAGAAAATACAAATATCGATCTTTCCGGAATTATCAGACACGAATGTCCATACATTCCCCCATGGATCATGGATATCAATATAAACACCAC